TCACCACCCCTGACAAGCTCCTGTGAGTTCCCGCCCCCACCACCTCCACCACTCCCGGTCATGGGATGCCCACCCCCACCCCCACCCCTGCTGCCTGGTATGGGCTGGGGCCCTCCTCCACCCCCACCTCCACTGCTGGCCTGCACCTGCCGCCCCCCTGTGGCGGGAGGCGTGGAGGAGGTCATCGTGTCCCAGGTGGACCACAGCTTGGGCTCCGCCTGGGTCCCCAGACATCGGCGGGTGAACCCACCCACACTGCGCATGAAGAAACTGAACTGGCAGAAGCTGCCATCCAACGTGGCACGTGGTGAGGGTCCCCAGACCCCCAAGAGAAGCTTCCCCTAGGACAGGGGCTGGTCTCTGCTGGGGAGAAGGGCAGGTGGCACATGGAACTTGTGTGCGTGTCCTGCCCGTGCGTGGCCAGGGCAGCCTGGCCCTTGCTCTGGGCTCGGCGCCTGTGGTTGAGGTGGGGACGGGGGAGGAGCAGGGCGGGGGCTACCTCTGAGGACCCCCTTCCACTTGCTCCCGTGAGCCAGTGCCTGTGGGGTGCCATGGTGCCCTGGGGCCCGGCTACAGGTCCTCAGGTAGGGAGGTAGGGTGCCTGCTGTATGCTGGACCTGCTGGGTCCCAGGCAGGTCATCCTTCAGACCCTCTGGGAGGCTCCAATCCCTGCCTGCTAGATCACCAGGCCCTGGGGCTGCAAGAGCCTCACTGGCCATGTGCCCACCCAACAGAGCACAACTCTATGTGGGCGTCCCTGAGCAGCCCCGATGCCGAGACTGTGGAGCCTGACTTCTCCAGCATCGAGCAGCTCTTCTCCTTCCCTGCGGCCAAGCCCAAGGAGCCCACCACAGCAGCCGCACCGGCCAGGAAGGAGCCCAAGGAGGTGGGGACGGGGAGGGGCTCAGACCGGGGCCACCTGCCAGGTCACCCTCCGGTGCCAGCCTGTTGGGTGGGGGGTTTTCCAGATCACTTTCCTTGATGCCAAGAAGAGCCTGAACCTCAACATCTTCCTGAAGCAATTTAAGTGGTGAGTGACAGAGGTGGCCCCCATCCCAGGCCACGGAGCCTCACCTCCACCTGAGCCTCCCGACTTGGGCCCAGCAGTGCCCTCTGCAGGCCACCATGGGAAGTGCATACTGCATCCCCTGGGCAGGATAGTGGGCGGGTAATAGCCCCATGCTGCCCCAGCTAGGGGCTGTCCAGCCTCCTGGGGAGAGAGCGCTGGGACCTCCCCACAAGGCCACACACAAGCAGTGGCTAAACCAGGGCGAGGACCTGGGCCCTGACTCTCAGCCCCCTAGTCCTTTCCTGCTGCGGGTGTCCAGCACTGGCCCGAGGGAGCAGGCTGGACTGACCCACCCTGCATCTCCTGAGCAGGGCCCATGGAGGGATAGCGAGGGTAGGAGTCAGTCTGGGTCCCCTTCACCGCATGACCGTGGGCAGACAACTCGACCGCCCTGTGTCCCACCTGCCCTGGCCACCCCATGACTGCGTGGGGAGACCCTGCCAGGCGGGGTCCCAAAGAGGCTGGGTGGGGTTGACTCACGATTCACCCGCCCCTGCCCGGTCCTCTCCCTGCTCCAGCTCCAACGAGGAGGTCGCTGCTATGATCCGGGCCGGCGATACCACCAAGTTCGATGTGGAGGTTCTCAAACAGCTCCTTAAGCTCCTTCC